CCATTAATGAGGTTTGTTCTCTTTGCCGTTTATACTTTATTTTTTTCTAATTAATAAATTTGTACCCATTTTGATTATTTGTCAGTGTCTAATGTAGTCAATGTTTTTTTGCGGTGGAGAAGTGGTTCCTTCTCAACTCTCCTCCTGGCGAAATCCAATTTGTTGCCAAAGGTGTCCACCTTTGACCCCAAAGCGTCACTCTTTTATCACATTTATTTTGCTTTTTTCTAATTTTGTTTCGATCAGTTGAATCGTATTTTGTATTTGATGTTTGCCTTTGGTGGCAGATGTGAAGGAGGCTGCGTCAGAGGCATCCTCTCGAATATTATGAAAACCTATCAGCATATCCACACCTCCTTTTACACCCTATTTCTCTGCACATTCCTCTCAAAAACTTAAATGCTTTATGCTCCACCATAGCCTTTGGTAGTTTTCTCTTCTTTCACTTGGTTCCATTTTAAGTTTGAACTTTTTTAAAAAATCTTTATTCTAAATTTGTTACTTTAGATCCTTAATTTTAGGATTAGTTATGGTTTATTTTTATACCTTATAATGAATTGAGATGTGGACAATCTCCCTTTTTGTCCCTTCCCCTTCGAATCTCTTTTCGTCTTCATTGTTCTCATCGTTTCATCGTTTCATTGTTCTCATCTTTTCTTGCGTTCTAATCTCATCCTTCTTGAAAATTGCAACTTCCCCTTGGACCCTCTTTGGTCTTCATCGTTTTCATCGTCTCATTGTTCTCATCCTTTCTTGCGTTCTCATCTCATCCTTCTTGAAAATTGCCTATTAAGAAGTAAAAATCGAAGCCAAGCAAGTAAAAATCGATAAGAGGGGTAAGCTTGCCTATGGAGAAAAAATGTTGGTTTAAAGGTTCTTTTGGTTTTCTAGGTTGGTTTATTCATTTGTCATGTTGAAAATTGAGAAGTAAATCAGAAATTGACTTTGGTTTGTTGTTACAGGGAGGAAGATCGAAAGAAAAAGAACTGGAGAAATCAATACAGGAACCCCCAGTCTGATGTCAATGGTATGTATCTCTCTCATTTTGGTTTTGTTTTTGGTTCACCAAATGGTTTTCATCTATTCTGATTTTTCTGATTTTTTTATATGAGATGTGCAGTTGTTGTGGCTCTTAATTCTTCAATTTTCTCCAACTTGCTAAAGTCGAAAGTTCACATTAGTTTGGTTGTTTTTGGGTCTTCCTGCTAACTACTTAGAACATGCATTTTAAGTTCAATTTTTGTTGGCCTGGCATTTCCCTTTTTGGAGAATCTATTTCATTTGTTTTAACTTTTCCCTTTATCCATTTTTTTCCCCTAATAATTGAACATATTTTTCATCACTGGGTAGCATTCCTTTTTCTACTTTGTTGGTTAAGCCAACCCCAATGTAGTGAGTATAAGGAAATTTACAGTTTCATATTTCAACAGTTTCATAAAGAAAGCATTTAGGTAACGTAAAGATTATTATCCCTCTGTTGATTTCGTGGTCTGTTGTTTTGTGTTTAGCTAATTTCAGTAGTGGATTAGGGTTTCTAAATGCCAGTTAATCACTCTGAATCTCAATGTTGTTGTTACTTATTAGCTGTGATTTTTCCCAAAAATATGTAGCTTAAGGGTCGATGAAGTACTCATCAATATGCTTGCTCAATGTTGTTGTTCTTTGAATCTGTGTTTTGTTGTGATATTCGGCTTTCTCATACATTAGACCATGCTTCCTCTTTTTGGTTCAATGTTGAAAGCATTTAGGTTTGATCTGTTTACTATCTCTAATTTTTGGATCCTAATGGAATTTCTTTGATTATATATGCTGTTTCTCCAGAGCACCAATGAAAAGAGCATTTAGACTTGATGGGTTTGATGTCAATGGTATGAATCTCTCTCTCTCTCATTTTAGTTTTGTTTTTGGTTCACCAAATGGTTTTTGTCTATTTTGATTTTCTGATTTTTTAATTATTTTTCTGGGATTAATCTCTCTCTCTCTCTCTCTCTCTCTCTCTCTCTCTTCTCTGGATATTCTCTCTCTGTGTCTTCTGGATATTGTTAGCAAATTAAAACAAATTAACAAATTTCCTTCTCTCCATCTCTGTTTTCGCTTACCTAAATTGCATTTGTTTTTTTGGCATCCGCATATGGTTTCACTTTCATTTATGGATATTCTTAGGTAACGCTCTGATTTTGTTCTAGAACACCATTTTTAAAGAAAATATTCTCTCTCTTTCTCTTTGGGTGATTTTGTTATCCATTTCTTTTGCTTTTTCGTTCTGGCTAAGCTTTTACTACAAGCATTACTGAACCTCTCTTCGAATCCAAGTTTTTAGTCTACGTTTGTGGGGAGTCTTTCAGCTTCCAAATTTTGCTTTAGTTTCCACACTGGCCACTGATTTGTGTTGGACTTTGTGTCGGACTTTGTGTCTCTCTCATTGTCTTGCTCTGGGTATTTTTATTTTTGATTTATTTTTTACAAATTTCGCTTCCTTTATTTGGTTAATTTGATTTCAGGTTCTTGGGTAATCCCTAATGCTATATAAGAGCTGAGGTATTTATATATCACGGCATATTGGTAAGCTTTGAATCAGGTTCAATTTTCTCTATTAATTTTAGTTCTTATTCTTTGAGTTTAGTATTGATTCTGTGTTTTTGGTGGTGTAGGGTTATGAGATAGAATTTTCAAATCTTTGATGACAACGACAATGCAGAGATAGTTGTTTTGGGATTTTGATTGTTTAATTTGACTTTTGCATAGGTAACTTTTGATTGTTTAGGCCAGTAACTTTTTGATCATATACTTTGTTTCAAATGCATCTAGGATCATTTAAACAGTCCTTTTCCTGTGCCTTTACAATGTTTTTTTTTTACCCAAAACACATTAATTTGGGTAGTCTTGAGTGGTTTCTTTCCGTACAGATTTTGGTCAAGCTAATTTTTTGGTTTAATGAAAAGATTGTGCATGCATGAAATACTCAAGCTAATTTCTTCTCCGATTTTTTTGTTTTTTCTTCCTTTTTTTATTTTTTTATTTTTTTTATTTTTTATTTTAAAAAACCATGTTTTCTTTTGATATTTTGCAGGTGGTCTTCCGTTGCTTTGGATAGAGCGGTTTGGTTGGTGTTTTCAGTTCTGTTAAGGGGTGAGTTTCTAGGCTGAAATTTCAATTAATTGTTTTAAGTTTTGTGAATAGAGCATAGGAATTAGCTATTGGCATCAATTGACAATTGGTTGGTGTTAATTTGTTGTTGTAATGATAGGTTTAAATGATTACAATATTTGAACATGTTGGTAAACCCCTCGAGTATTTTGGCAATTGGGTAGTTGAGATGTTCCCTGCCTATTTTCATCGCTTTATACACATTTCATGCAATTTTAAAACCCGCAGCATCGCGCGGGCACTTTTGCTAGTTCCTTACATAAAGTCCTTCCTAGCAAAGTATTCTACTAGTTACTCTATGATTAAACCCAAGCCTATTACCAATGGTTTTGGCTTTGTGAGTAACCTTTCTAACGTTGCATATGCCTTCAAATATAAATAAGTAAATAGATATACATATGCGACACATTACAAAATAGCGATTTAAAACATTGTATATAATTCTTGGGTAATTTTCGTTCTGAGTCACATATGCAAGCGGTTGATTAAATTAATCAAATAAGCCTTCATAACTGAATCATGTTTTGTTTTCAGGTTTTCCCCACAGGCTCGGAATTGGCTCAAGACATGTGTCAACACGAATTGAACAGCTGAGAAAAGGAAGAATGCTTTTAGCAATGGAAAGGGACTGGTTTCATGAAGATACAAGTGATCCTCATACCAGTAATGCTAACTAAGGTTGTTTCATGGCTAGAAACAGACTAATCTCTAAGTGAGGTGCAATTTGCTCAATGTATTTACGAATGCTAAATTTGATTAATACAAAACAAGAGCCAATTCTTCTACTTCAGAAATTTATCAATCTCTGAGCTTAGTGGTTCGGTCAAAGCCCCTTAGCTTACATGCTCTCTCTTTTTCAGGCAATCTAATAATAGATTACGTTTATGAGACGCGTGGCATTGCAAATCAACTCGGCGAGAATCAACCTTCACTTTGTTAGTGTCTGTTAGCTTGTGTGTGGAAAACAATAAATGTTGGAAGTGTGAAAGTAGGAAATATTAACTTGACTTGTGGAGACTTTGGAGGCTGCTGCTGTTAGCTAGACCAGCTGTGGGTGTTAGCTAATAGGCTACTATTTTGTAGTTATTAACATTAATAAGGTTGGCCGCTCTTGGGTGGCTGTAGGGTCTGTAGGTTTGCTGTGGGGTTGCTATAGGTTGGCTGATGTATAGATTCTTGTAATTAATGTAAAGCTTGAATAGCAAGTCTTCTCCTTATATATATATCATGTATTACAAAACAATCAATGAAAACTGAATACAAGTTGAAAACCACAAAATTATCTTCTCTCATTCTCATATTCTCATATTCCAGCTTCTCATGTTTTGGCATGGTATCAGAGCCTAATGGCTAATCCTTAAGATCTTCTACCAAATTGAGAGTCGTTGGCGTTTTTTCATGTTGCTGGAAATTCTCTTGTTTATCTTCTTCTTTAATCAACATTTTTTTTCATTCCACCTTAGCCGTTTAGGCAGATTCTTTTTTCCTCCTTTTCCTTCCAGTATCAACCAAAATACATAACTAAACAAATAAATGTCATTACCTTGTTTCTTATTTTATTCCCCTTTATTTCCTTAAATTATTGCCCCTCCATTAAAAAAAAGAGTACATATATGAAAAAAAATTCGCTACTTCTTCCAGCGGCGGATCCAAACCTTTTTTCAATGGAGGGGCAATATTTAAAAGTCTAAAGCTAAAAAACAAAAAAACCGAAAAAACCTTTATTTCATACAAACTATCTATTAGATTGACTGGTTATGGGTTAAAAGGGTTTTTGTTTGTTGTATAATCTTCTATTATATTTTTCGACCAAAATAAAATCTTATATTATATTGAGATTTGTAAATTTTTAATAGGCAACATTTTGATTTTAACTGGGCTAAGCAATAGTTTATTGTTGTTTCTTTTTGGATTTAGTGTAGGTGACGATATGATTTTATATGACTTGGGTGGTGGGCCCATTGGGGCAATTTTGTATTTCCAATGGCTTAGAAACCAACTTTAGTGAAACACTGTGTTTCATTAAACATAATGAAACTAGACGACGCCGTTTCATCAGAAAAATAAAAATTAAGGTATTATGTCTTCTTCTTCCTTCGTGAGGTAGTGCCTCAACCTCCATTAAGAACGCTTTTGCAACCTGTCGTCTGCTAAATCAGTGGCGCCATGAGAACTTGTGAGCACTACGCAGTTCCGGCGAGAGGAGGTGCAAGTGCTTCTCCTTGCGCCTCTGTGGTTGCCACTGACCTCTTCTCTTTCACGCCAATTACTTGGCTTCCTTTTTCCTTTATTTTATTGACTTGTTTTGCACCATATGGCTCTTCCTTTTCAACACCCCTCACATTTGTCAACATCGCCTACCTTATCTATACAATATTCATCCCTTTCTCTCTATGTGTGCATACACGTCATCCACCTTCATTAATTTTTAATCTTTCTTTCTTTTGGGGTTGTTGCAGACTCCTTTCCATCTTTTATTCCTTTTCTCTCATTGTCGGCTGCCCACCTCCATTCCACCTTCCTCTATTGCATTTGTTTCAATTTAAGTCTCTTTCTATTATTTCAGTTTCCCTTCTTCCAAATCTCAACCCTCTACCAGTGTCGGATTTGAGGGGAAGATAGATACAACTTTATTAAGGTTCTATGTCATGCTCTGCCCAAAACACCCGTGGGTCACCTCATCTTTTCTTTTTTAATTTATTTTTTATTTGTTTTGTTGTTGTTATCTTCTCTTCATTCGTGTCTGCCCAGAAACACTCGTGTCTTCCTACTCTCTATTTATTTGGGTGTTACTTTCTCCAAATCTCGACTCTCATACATCGTCGGATTTGAGAGGGAGTGACACCGCTGCAATTCTCATCTATTCCGCTGCAATTCACCTACCTATCTGCCATGGCAGATTATCTGTGCCTGTTTCTCAAGTACCACTAATCATATAGCTCCATCGACCCATTCTCTTCAAGGGGAGAGGGGGAGTGAAGAGAAGTTGTCTCTGTTCTTGTTGTTGCCAGTGTCTTATATTGCTCTCGCTGGTGCCAATGCCTTGTGTTGCTCTCACTAGTGACAGTGCCTTGTGTTGCTCTCACTAGTGCCAGTGCCTTGTGTTGCTCTTACTGATGCCAGTGTTGTTGCTCCTGCCTGTATGTCTCTTGCTGGGGACAATACCAATATTGTTGCTCTGGCCTGTTATGGTGCTAGTATTATTGCTCATGCCTTTGCTGGAGTATTTCCGTTGTGGTCACGCCCATTGACCTTGCCTTTGCTCTTGACTTTCCTTACCTTGCCTTATCCTATTTTTAGGGTTTGGTTTTGTCTTACCTTTGTCTTACCATGCTTTGCCTTACCTTGCCTTATCCTATTTTTTAGGGTTTGGTTTTGTCTTACCATGCTTTGCCTTATCTTACCTTATCCTATTTTTTTTAGGGTTTGGTTTTGCCTTACCTTTGCCGTGTTCACAGGGTTTCTGTGTCCTTTGCCGTGTTCACAAGGTTTCTGTGTCCTTTGCCCTGTTCACAAGGTTTCTATGTCCGTTGTCGTGTTCATAGGGTTTTCTGTATCCTTGCTGTGTTCACAGGGTTTCTGTGTCCTTTGCTTTGCCTTTGCCATGTTCGCATGGTTTCTGTGATCGACTGACTGACCGGCCGCACTTGGATTTGGTGTTGCCAATGACAGACCGAAATGATTAACTTCGATGTGGCCTTAGCTTCACGTGTGACCCACTATGTGGTGGTCCCACATGAAGAGGCATGTTGAAGTGGATTGACATTCTATTAAGAAGAAGCTCGATGCAGAAATATTAATAACGACAGTCTCTCTCTTGGCAAGTTGGTCATTGATGACATCTATGCACCAACTTGAGGGGGAGTGTTAGCTTGTGTGTGAAAGCAATAAATGTTGGAAGTGTGAAAGCAGGAAATATTACCTTGACTTGGAGAGACTTTGGGAGGTTGCTGCTGTTAGCTAGACCAATAGCGGGTGTTAGCTAATAAGCTACTATATGGTAGGTATTGACATTAATGAGGTTGGCTGCTTTAGGGTGGCTGTAGGGTCTCTAGGTTTGCTGTGGGGTGGCTATAGGTTGGCTGCATTAATGGGGATGGCTTGACTTTGATTAGATTAGCTGCTGCAATTCAACTACTTGTAATTAATATTGAGCTTGCTTAACAAGCCTTCTTCTTTGTTTGTACCATATCTGACTCTCCACTTGTATTGCAATACGTGGAAGGAGAATGAGGTTAAGACCAACCTTGTGAGGCCCCTGCCGATTCATACGTGTTCTTCGGTCTCACATGCCGAACGACCTTGAGGGCGCAGTCAAGACGCTGGCCGATTGTACAAGACAACCTCGGAGACCCCGCCAAAGCTTATGAGGATGTGTGTCGACTGCTGAAATTCCCTAGAATGGCCAACTGATCTGTTTCTTAATACTCAAAAACCGCAACAGGATTGAAATACTGTAACAATCCTGTAAGCAAAAAATTCCAGAATACGCAGCAGAATAAATTCAAATAAAAACACAAACAATTGCACAAGGGACACACGATATGTTGACGCAGTAAAAAACCTCAAGATGAGGAAAACACTATATTGGGTATTATATTGAATCTCCCATAAAATAAAACCAAATTAGTTAATTGAAATTCATCACCAAGACTTTCACAACCATCAGCCAAATTTTGTCATGGATGAGACAGGCTACGACGAGGAATGGGTGGGACTGTGTTTGCAAGAGGGCGAGATGAGGAGACGAAGAGAGAGAGATGGAGGAACCCAAAGAGAGGCAGTGAGGTCTTTCTCTTATCGTGTGGGTTTCTCCGTGTTTCCATTAAACCATTTCCCGTGTTTTCACTTTTCCTTTGAAAATGGGGAAAACAACAAAAAACTGTTTTTTAACTCAAAGAAGAAAAGTTGAGTTTGTTTTCTATATGTTTTCCGTGTTTTCATAGTTTACACTAGGGGTGGCATTTTAAACCGAAAAACCGCAAAAACCAACCGATAATTTACCGAAATGAAACCGCAATCGCGGTAAACCGAACCGCATTTGCGGTATTAAGAACCGAACCGCATTTGCGGTTGCGGTTGCGGTATTTGATTTTCAAAACTTGCGGTTACCGCAAACCGCAAAGTATAGCCGCACGGATGATGAGGTTGAATTCTACAAGGAAATGGAACATATGACAACTTGTAAGTAATTAGTTTATTTATGCTAATGTTATTTATGCTTCTTCTTATAATAAAATGTACTAAACTATGTTGTTTTATTTGTAAATAACATTGGTGCTCAAACAACACAACGGGGTTTTTCAAATCCACTCACCACCAACACTTGAGTTTGTAACTTTAGTTTGTAACATTGGTGCATTGCATTTTCCTTTTAATTTGTAACTTTAATTAACTTTGAATTGGATTTTTCTTCTTGATTGTAACTTTAATTCATTTTGCTTTGCATTTTCCTTTTGGTTTGTAACTTTAAAGAATTTGAAATTGGAATGCTTGAGAAGTTTAACCTTAATTGAAATGCTTGAAATTGTAACTTTAATTTTATTAGGTTGTGAATGCTTGAGAAGTTGAGAAGATTGTGAATTTATATATGTTTGAGAAATTGAGGTTGTGTATTTATTTATTTAGGTTGTGAATTTATATTTTTGTGAATGCTTGAGAACTTGCGGTTTTAAACTGCTAATTCGCGGTAACCGACCGAATTTTACGGTTTACCGCAATGCGGTAAACCGCAAACCGCGGTTGGTTCGCGGGTT